TTATATTTGAAAGATAAAAATGGTTACTATGGGTTATCCTTAGGAGATAGAGATATTTTTGTGGACCTTTTTCAGATATATAATTCTGTGGTACATTATTTTGGTCTATCTCGTAAGGATTAGCCAGTGTTTGCAATGTAAGCGCTCAAAACCATGTTTTGAAGACAAATCTTTAAAATTCTTGGATTGTCTAATATAAAATACGTCATGTATTATATAAATAAACCTTCCTCTTAAATCACTCTCTCTATTGGCGAAAACTGCATTAAATACCGTTCCGTACCGTACCTTACCACAAAAAAATAGGTCTGACTGACTAACTCTGTTCTCCTACCTATCTATCTACAGTTGTCTATATCTTTTAAAAATATAAAAAATAGTAGACCACCAACATTGAGTACAGGGACCAAGGCTTATTGGCTATTAAACTTCTTCGTAAAATGAAAGTATTGTTAAGTCCTTCCAGAAACCATCTCTCATTTTATGAACACGTCCTTAAATAATTCACAGAAAATCAATTTCAACTATTTATGTTGGTAAGTTGATAATTTTATATTCCATGGATATAAAGTAGAATCCTAACGGTTGTGTACAATGAGGCGTCATTAAGTGTTATTTTCTGTCTACGTGCACTTACACATCTATAATTCTGCATCTAATCGGCACAGTGGGGCAAGTGGACGACTTTACCATATTCCGGCTGCACGTACTCATTACAGAACTACGGAAAACTGGATAACTTTGTAAAATTTAAGGTTTTTACGGTTTCGGAAAACCAAGAAAATCTTGTTGAACCTGATAAAGGGATTGAAGCTGAAAAAGGGATTTTATTAAGATTTAATATTTTTCAACATATTCAACATTTTAATGAAGCGAATGTTTTTGTGGATGCAAATTTATATGAAAACTTATTAGTTTAAAATCAAATGTTTATACGTTTATACGACAATCTATGTTTATTTAAAAACATTTTTTTAAATTAAAAACTAACACCTTATAAATAAGTTAAAAATTCAGAGAATTATTATATAAGAGTTCTTTTGATGACGTAGTATTTTATTTCTTTTACTTTATAAAGAAGCGAATTACTTCCTAGAGTTATTGAGTAACTATTACCATAAAAAATTTCTATAAAGAATCAAATTAAAAACTAAAAATATATTTACGGACGATAACTTTCGTGTTTTATCAAATATCTTATTATTCGAATTTATATCTGTTTAGTTTGAAATGTTAATATGATGGGTGTATGGTTGATAGAGGACCCCAATTATCTAAGGCAGGGGTGGCCAGGTGGTCGTGGACGGTCGCGAGTCGAACAAGAGCTCCCGCGGAGTACAACTAACAGACCTTGACTGTGTCGTGTTCGGTCGCCGAGGCCTTCCGCATTAGTGTTACGATCTAGTATTGTGCATAGAGTACGAAGTATGGTATTGCGAACATTGCCACCCCCAGTCGCCAGCCGCCCGTCATTATGTGTCATTAGTTTTGCGACAGTGACCAAATGACTGGACTGCGATATCAAATGACTCATTCCTGCCGTGATTAGTCTATTTAGTTTTATCAATGTCTGTGTAGATAGGTAATTTTCAGTTCTAGTTACGAAAATTTACCTGCTACATTTGTTGCAAGTTTAGACAGACTACTTTTACCAAAACTTTACTACACTTACTTATATTTCCTTCAAGCGATTAGTTTTCTTTCAAGTAAAAGCGATTAAGTAGGCACAAATGGTAACAAAATAGCACGAGTACTGATTATAAATATCAATTTGCATGATGTCCGAAAAGATTCAATTGATAAACGTCAGCGCTTTCCAAGATCTTCTAGTGAACAGACGACCCTATCGTCTCGTAAATTTAAATTAGCAACACCAATGAGATTTTATTGGAAAAGTGCCATTGTCTACGACCCTACCGAGAGTTGGAAAAATATGTTAAAGTTCTTATTACATGTATATCTATGTATGTAGACCAATGTTATCATGCGTTAATAAATAGAACCAGACAATAATTACGATGTAATAAGTAAAGGTCTATGGGAGAGGCCTATGTCCAGCAGTGGACTGCGATAGGCTGATGATGAAGTAAAGGTGATGCATTATATTATTTTATCGTTTTATTATCTTTTTTTCACACATTAAGGATAAGTGGTCGACGCTGTTTTATCACAGAAATAGCTCATAGGCTGGGAGTCACTTATACTACTTTTTATTTTGAGATGTGCGATGGATCTTCTGTGACAAAAGTTTTGCTTAAAAGAAATGATGTTAATGAAATTTGGTTTAGTCTTCGAATTTATTATATTTTTGTTAAGATGAAATACAACCGCTTTGTAGGATGTCTATTTATTTTTTAGAAATACGGTGTAGAAGTCACGTTTAAGAGCTACCAAATATATATGTACAATCAAAGTTGTTTCTAAAAACAGAAGGTAATTACACGCACGGCTAACGAGAGCGGGCGGTGGGCAGCTGTGAATTTATACGCAAGAGCCTTCCCGGCGCGCAATGTAAAGTGTATATCTGAAGGAAAACATTTCATTCCCGCCGGAATATAATCGTCCGGTCGTAATTTATATTGTCTGCTGCAGAGGCGAGTCCCGCTGCACATTCATTTATTTTATGTGCCATTTACAATTGTCGGTCGATGGTCAAGGGAGCGAACGAGGGACGCGGGGGTGTGGAGGACGCACGGCGGCGGGGGCGAGGTTGCCGGACGGTGCCTTCGCATTATAAAACCGTGCGGTCATCTGCGAACTCCGTAATGGTATTTGTAATAGGAGCGGTCCGCCGGAGCTGCGTTGACCGCTTCACAACATATGGGTCTGATGCTATATTTATAACAGTAATTCGGGTCTTGTGTCATGAGTTGAATATACGGATTAATTAATATACCCGCTTTGATAATATAATGAGACCACCTGAAATTAAAACATCTACTGACTAATAATGAATAAATAAATAATTACTTAAAAATAAATAATAAATTTTATTAAGTTTTGCTGCTTTCAGAGTTCTTCTAATTGATGGCTCAGTACAATACTTTACAGAAATTCATAAATCCTAATTGCACTTGAAGCGTCTCCAATAAAGAAAGTTTCTAATTTTGTACAATCCTCCATTCTTCTTTTGTATTTAATTGTCAGTCGTTGCATTTTTTCGCATGAAAGTCGAACGAGCAGCGTCGGCGGGCAAGAGGCTGAGTGGCTCTGTATTCTTTTGTTTTTTAATTATAACGCTAGCATCCGTGGGGTGACGGCCCCCCTGCCAAGTTTCTGGTGGAGGTGCTTTCTTGTTAAGCGCGACGGGCGCTCGCCTCCTACGTGCCTCGGCCATTCATTTCGTAGAAACTTATAACCTGACCCGCGTACTTATGAGCGTCGCCAATAAATATAGCGATGACCGGAGGCGGCGCGGTCCTTGTCGGACATGAGATGCCGTACGGGCCTCCGAGCGGGACGGCGCACAGTGGTAGGTTAGCGTCGCTCGCGGCGAGGCATTGTTAGCTAAATATCTAGGTGGTCAGTTGGGCGGGCGGGGGCCAGGGCGGCTAGAAGACGGGCAGGGGCGGCGGGCGGCGGACGTGCCGGGCCTGGCGCCGGCCGATGTATTGAGCGCGTATTGCAGACGCGGTCACGCGCTGCAATATTGCGTTCGCTCTGCGATATTGCCCCTCGGTAACTCAATTTGATAAATTGTGCAAAGTTCGCTTGTTCAGTATTGGTATCGTACGATCGACCTTATACTTTGGTCGGTTTACATATTGTAACATACATAATAAGGATTGCTTCCCTAACATAAAGTTAACTTAGTTCATATGGAAAATGTATATGAGATATAAAAAAAATTAAAACATAGTTGTTATTTGACCTGTTAAGTAAAATATTTGCTTACATAATGATTCACTTATTAGACATAGGGAACTTCCCCTAATCTTCAATTATTTATGATATTAATCCATAGCATTTGAATGACGGCTGATGACGATGGCACAGGCAATTAAATTTTAATATGGCAGACCATATTAAAATTTAATTGCCTGTCCTATTTACTGCTCATATTTAAGAACTGTAAACTTACGAAATAAGTTTAATGATAAAAAAAAGAAAAGAGCCGTCAAGAGATAAAATCTTTACTTCAAGGCATCCATTTTAAAATAACCAGTTAAGTGGAAATAGCGTGACTAAATTATACAAGTTGATTTTTACGAGGCTTTCAATAATGTACAGGATCGATCCGAGGTATAATGACTTTATTTTCTGATTTGCATCATTGTCAGATAAGTCAAGGAGTTCGTTCTTTTTAATTGAAAGTACTTAGCATTAAACATTGTTACGTTACTGGGCACATGAGGATAAGTAGATTAAGTACTACTACTCCTTGTAATCTATGATCAGTGATCACTCTGATTCCAAAGGAATCCGTCGGACATTTTATAGAGTCGCGGTGGTTTAACCACCTGTTACCATTGTTGAATGGTGGAAACTTTAAAACTCAATAAATAGTCGTTTTCAACGATGCACATTACATTCTGTACATTAACCATTTTTCAGAGGTGCGAACACCGTGAGTTCATGGCTGTGGATGTGTACAACACCTGTTTGGTAAATTTGTTAACACAAGCATCTAAATAAGTGGACTCGTATTACTAAAAACAAACAAGAAGTTATATTAATAGTCTACCTGTAATTAAAAGTATTAATGCAAGTTATTTGTCGCGTATAATATTCGTAATTAACTATAAGCCAAGGGAGGTAATTTTATCTCAAGAAACCGCAATTAAGATTTATAAAGAGGGTGTAAGATGAGTCATGAGGGAGTTTAGAAGGAAGATTTTATACTTAGAGATGAGTTTTTTAACGTTACACGACTATTTATGTATATATTTGTAACATTTGTTAATATAAATATTGTTTTATTATTAATTATCATCAAAATCATTTTTTTTTTACATGATCTTTAATGCATATATGAAAAATAACTGTAAATACAATTACTAATGGCAAGTGAAACGTGCCGTATGTACACGGCAGTAGCGCGGCCGGCGTGCGGCGGCCGCGCGTTCCGAATGCGGGTTGCGTGTGTCCGCGGCTTCAGTCTCGAGAAAATGATTTATATTGTTTGTGTAGCGGCGGGAGGCAAGCGGGAGGCCGCGGGGGAAGCTTTCTCAAGCAGATCCAGTCCACTGCAGATATGGGCGAGTATTATTATTGATCCGGCTCGGGCGGCGGTCGGCGGTCGGCATTTCCTACCGCTCATACTCGGGCGGGCGGGGGTGCCGGCCGCCGCCCGACATATTTATTGAGGCGCGCGGGTCGGCACTCGCCGACATAAAACTTATTATAACGACGCAGACCATCTACTACAGTGCACTAACCTTTAATAAGAGGCGTAGGGCGAACGGCCGAGGGTGAAGGGGAGAGTGCGATGGCTTCTCGCCCAATCCTAACGCGTTATGATATTATATCAAGTCATATCAGCCAATCACCGCTCGTTATGATATTGTAGGCGGGCGGAAGAGAAATGCAACGGACAGTTTTCTTCATTGGGCGGGCGGTTTTATGATGTTCAGTTATGATTATATTAGGGTGTGCATCTAAGGAGTATTTACCAGGTGGAATGTTATATATCGGAGGTTTACCGCACCTTTAAATATGAGGGTAACTAAGACAAAATTTTGTGTAATGTAATGATGATGATATGACGTCTTCTATTAATCCAATTTTTAAAATAGAACAACAGTTATTAAAAAAAGTAACTTAATATTTTAGACAGTTATAATCTAATGTTATTTCTTACTTTATGGTGTGTTTAATTCGTTTAATGGGTTATCCCCAAACGATATATGTTTAGAAAACAAAACAAAAAGTAGTGTTCTTTTGACTGCCTAACTTGTTGCTTCTAATTTTATTTCTTATTTACTCAAAAGCTAGTCTGTAGAAATGTGAATATGGACTTTATTATTTGAAGACGGACTATATCACCTGTATTCTTTACTGCTTTTCGATTGCTTGCAAAACTAAAATAATCATGATCGGATACTGAATGACTAGCTCCAAGGGACTCTATATTACCTAACGTATGGCGTAGTGGTTTTAGGGGTCGCCACGCCGCTTACTACTACGCTGTGTGTTGTGGGTCCGATCCCCACATGGGACGACACTTTGTGTAATCCACAAATTGTTGTTCTGAGTCTGGGTGTTCTTTGTGTCCGTTTCGTGTATGTTTGCAAAGTCCTTCGCGACACAGGATATATTCCTAATGCTTGCCTGGAGTTGATGTTAATAAAAAAAAAATGTACGGAGTTGCCAGCACCCGAACGAGCACCCTTAGCACGACGTTGCGTGTGACAAAGAAAGAAACCTTAAAAATTGCACTCATAACTATGGGTTGCAGAATATTCCCCAATGTGATTTAGGAAACTGGGTGTACTGCATGCCAAACCTACTGTAATGATAACAGGTGGAGGTAACACAAGGTGCTTAACTTGAAAAAATTGAGAAGTTGTAGAAAAATATGTTTTTTTATATGTATTTTTCTTAGAATACAAAGTGAGATATCATCTTTATTATTTTCATGTTAGGATTATTTAGTTTGCTAAAGAATTCATTGCTTTCGAGAGTATTTTCAAAACATACCTAAAATTTTAGTTCAGACTACCTCGCTATTTCCTTCACAATTTTACCCTTTTTTATGATAAAGGGGTGAACGACCAGACCGGTCATTTGATGCCGCAGCTCTTAAAACACTTGATTATGAGACTGTTTTGTTTACAATGTATGTGAATAAGGAGTATTGTACCGATATCAGCTTTATAAGAAATAGAAAATATATTGGAAGCGCAGCTCTTAACAAGGTCAACCGTCTAGTGAGTCTTATGATGACATTTCAACGACGCTCTACCCAATATCACATTTTCCATTTCGCTGTGAACAGAGGAACGTTTGATTTTATTTTCGTCGATTTTGAAGAATCGTGACCTGAAACTTAGGTAAGGATTTGTTGCGCAACTTTCATCTGCTACTTTGTCGAGATTAGAAATAATTCTGATTTAATACCACTCAACCTTCTTAGTAAAAGTCTCCTCAAGCCTCATCATTTGTTTCCTAGCACTTTCTTTTTATTATCAGAAACACGGAACAAATCTGTTTAGATTCGCTGAGAGTACCAAACATCACAGAATCTAGTAATCTATAAAATAATTCAGTAAATGTAAACTAACTCATTTACTTCCTAATTGTTTTGAATTTGTTGTAATAAAAGCGTATTGAATTAAACAGCGTCCTTGTTCAGCAAATGAGTTGATAATAAAACGATAATAAACAAGCGCCTTTGTAACAAACTATAACAGATCGGTAATTGCTTCCACGATACCTCCTCGCGTTATTACGCCTTTTACGACGCCGTATGGGGTGAATAAAACATTTTTACGATCGGCCATGGGTGCTATAATACATACACGCACACACATGGCTAGTTACATGCCTACAGGTAATAAAGTATAAACTGAATATACACACATTTGTACTTGTCCCCTTATGTCTCGCAGTCGTAATGGCGGTATAAAAACTTCATTTTCTTAACACAAGTTGCCGCCACCCTGCGATTAATACAACTATTATATGTTTTCCAAAAATGACACTATTTGGTTTCAATTTATGTGAGTAATAGCTAATTAGTATATTATTTAGTAAGAGAGATGGGTCGGTGCATCAGCGGACATATGGCTCCGACTTACTCAAATAGATTGCGTCATAACGTAATGCCGTCCCAGAGCGCAAAACAATTATGGAGACTGAATAAAGTATCGCCCGTCTACCTTAGCCGATCGTGTTCGTTTCATCTCTAACCACGTTGTCTTTATAATCTACCGTATCCGCGTAATGTAACATTTGTTGAGCGAAGATACAATATATATATTTTTTATTTTTTCTCTGGGGACACTTTTTCGACCCTCGTCCGAGCGGTCTCTTTGAAAAGTGGACATCGGAACGCGAGGGAAGGAGCCCCTGAGGATACTGGACAGAAAATGCGTTGTAAACATTGCGACTACATTCAATTTCGAGTCATTTTTCAAACTGATAAATAATTCTGTCATCGAACGTTCGGACAGGGGTCGCTATGAAGTGATTGTCGATGGAAGGACGCCGGCGCCGTAAAAAATAGCGGCCGATGAGAGTCGCCTCTGCTTCTCGTATGTTCGCGATAAATTTCTTTTTTATTATCAGATATCGAGGGACTCGAGAATCGAATAAAGCGCTCATATTTAATTCATAAGATACCGGCCATACAACACTACTCCAAACTATTTTATTTAAGATGTTGAAAGATTACGGATACTGGACGTATGCTTATTCTAAGCATTGCCGTTGGCCAACTTTTTAGTTATAAATCATGCATGATATCGGAATACATGTAAGAAGTTCCTCCTTCTGTTTTGGTGTGGTTCAATTTTATCAACAACAAAAACAATTAAGTCAGAATTTTTCAGAAATAACAATAATAGTAAACGTTGAAACAGTTTTATAATAAATAATTTGAACATTTTAAGATTATTGTCTATGCAGAAATTGTCTAGAAATGTTTAAAATAAAACGAATTTAGACTCATTGGTTAATATTTAAATCTGTTACATAATTAAGGTTCAATGGTACCGTACTTCATAACTATATTAAAAGGTTTAAGCCATAGAGTCAACAAGAATGATACAGAAATAAACTTAATTAAAGTAGCCTCACATAGCGAGAGTATGCTATAGATTCAAGTCTGGTCTGAAGTTGCCACAAAACAATCTTAGTTGTTAATATTTTATTTGTTATACAATTTGTGGCCCTGAAATGGTTGGATTCTAACAAAATCCAATCAACAATATTGATTTAAGACAAAGTACTATACGATGAAAATAACAATGTGTATCTGTAATTGGCAGGAAATAAATTTAAATTATTTAATTTATCACGATGCCAGTGCGTCTTGGGTCCGGCAGATGTGTTCAATACATTTAGAGCCACGAGAACAGGGCCGGGGGTCACTCGCAGTATTAAATAACTCTCCGACAGCTAAATGAGTAGGGGACGCGAATAACGTCTACACAGGACGATTCCGAAAGTTTTGAGTTTTCGAAGCAGCGTTTCGTAGCTGGTATATGTGAAAATTATTACTTTTTAAAAAGAAAGTCCATACATCTTATATTGCAACGGGACAAAAGTAATAATCTTTTAGTAATTTTATACGGCAATGTATATTTTATTGCAATGCTCATCTTAACAAGGACCGTGCTGCTGTTAATGATTCTGGTCACCCCCAGCTTGAGCAATTTCGAAAATGTCAATTGTGATACTTTAAGTATAGAAAGTTATTGTCATACAACAAATAAAACTTGACGCTAATAAAGTCCGTAGTAGATCTCATTTGCGTTAACTATACCAGTATGCTTCTATATAAACAAACTACGACTTTTGATATTTTACTCGCATGTTCAGCAGATGTTTATCTACTACTTTTTAGTGATTAATCTACTTGACTTACTTAAAGGCTCGACTCGACTCGACTTCGATTTGTATGGTGACGGATTAAGAATACAGAGTGTCATCACCCCTATTCCGCAAAGCCAGCGTGGTATGGTTGGCCGTGGTATAGTAAGGCTGTTGATGATTAAAGACTTCGAGACTTGGTGAATGAACACTTGGCGACTTGAAGACTTAAGGACTTTGCAAGATAAGGAAAGCAAAACCAGCCAGGCTGGCAGTGTATAGTGTATAGTGGCATAGTTTATTTCGTTGTCAGTGATAAGGGAATGTCTATCATGAAATCGTTCTCCTCCAACTGTGCAACAGATTGATTTCATGTAAGTAATTAACACATCAGCTTTGAATACCATTATACACAAATGTTGATCATTAACATTATAACTTTGTCATGCAAACAATGTGTATGCTGGTGGTGATGGAGACTTCAGGAAAGAAAAGAGAGAAGTCAGTTCTCGCAAACTGCGGCGCTGACGAATTGGGAGCCATACTTGCGCAGATAGAAAAGGAATCGAATGCAGTTATTGAGAAGGACTACATTCAGGTCGAAGTAACACACATCACCATAGTCGATTAAGGGAATAATTAAGGACTGCATAAGCGTAGCTTTAGTTTTAGCGGCAAGTAAGTTCTTCAAACGATATAAAGCACGGAGACATGTGGTGACTTTGATATATAACCCCAGGTTCTTTACCACTGCTCTAAAATGTATAGTCCCATTGTTGTAGACAACTGATGGGATGACCGCCATATTCAACCTACTCATCATTTGTTTGCT